AGGAGGCCAGGAAATTAAGCCTTTGATCCCCAATGCTCCACATGGACCTGGTGTGCTGGTCTTGGCCGCCAGCCGCGTCCTCAGAGCTGGAGTTGAGTGGACCCTGCCTGTGTGGTCAGGTCCAGTCCTGGTGCTGCAGCTGCACGTGTTTACTCCATTGCTGCTGGCACTGCTGTGAGCCGTGAACTCAAAGCTTTGGGCCCTGGGGCTGGGGCAGGGTGCTGTGTTCGGCTTGTGCAGGCCTGGGCACACAGGGTTTGCTGTGTTCTGCTGTTTGACACACGGGCTGTTGGGGCTCGGTCAGGATCTGCTCTCTCCTTTTTCCTCAGTCCCCACACTGCGGGGTCCCTCCATGTCCCACAGGGCCCCCCTGGCTGCCTGGAGGAGGGGGCCCAGGTCAGCCCAGGGTTTGTGTAGCTTCAGATCTTGTTTGCACTATGCGCTCAAGCTGTAGGGTTTTCCCTTCTCTGGCCTGGGAAGCAGCCCCAGGTGTGCCTTCCATGGCAGCAGGCCCTGCTGCGTCCCCCGGTCCCGTCGCAGCCTCCCAGCGCCTCTCGCTCTGCCCACCGTGGCATTGGCATGGTTAGCATTCATGGTCATTTCCCTTCTGGCTCACTGCTCCCGCATCTGCCCCAGCCCAGACCCTGATCCTCTCTGGTTTGGTGTCTACTGTGTCTGTCAGTTCCTCCTCCTCCAGGAAGCTGGCCTGGCTGCCTCGGGCCATTAGACTGACCACAGCATTACAGGCTCTTGGTAATCATGGACTGACCCTCCTGGGTTCTTACCTTGCTTGCAATCTCCAGGTTGTGTAAGCAGATCATTTATTCAACAAATTATGCTGCACCCTTAAAGACATAGCAGATACTAATCCACTACCCAGCACACAACCCTGGATGGTTAATGCTACTCTGGGTTGTAGAGACCAGGAACTCCTCAGAGTGCTGGCTTGAGACAAACTGGACTTTCGTTTGGACTGGGGGCCAGGGTCACTCTGGGCTCGGGGCCTGTCCTTCATGTCACTAGGTGGTTGCCACACCTCCCTCCATCACAGCTGTCAGGATAAGGAAGAAAGTGTCAAGCCTGATGGCATGTGTGTGTTGATGCCTTGATTCACTCATTGGCCACTGCGGTCCTGTTTCTGCTGCCCACGGAGGCTGTGCTTTAGTTCAAGAACATGCAACAGGTAAACCAGATGCTTCGGCTATCATTGCACACCACCCAAGCGCTGGAGAGAATGCAGTTCTGAACAGGGTGGGAGTGATCATGCTTTAGGGAGGCTCCTCCCAGGAAGTGCCATTGGATCAGGGTTGAGTTAACTGTGCTGCCACGGGAGGGAGACCCCCTCGGGGAGCGTGGGGTTCAGCATTACGGGTCCTGAGGCAGGAGCCCCGGGCTTGGGGAGCAGCAGAAGTCGGGTGGGAGAGGGGTTGGGTGGTGCTGGTCGGAGATGGAATCAGCAGGGGAAGCGAGACCCTGTTTCTGGGGGTTTGGACCATACCCAGAGGAGTCAGTCTCTTGGTGATGGGCCCAAGGGGTGCATCTGGAGAGCTTGGGGTTCATCCCTCAGTGTGACCACAGCTCGGTCTGCCTGGCAGGTGGAGAGGGCGAGGCCGATGTGGAGGGTGACGCCACTGCCCTGTGCCCCGTGGAGTTTCAGGTGTTAATGCTGTGTTCCTCCTTGTAAGATATGCTCACGCTTCCTCCAGAAACCCAGAAGCTTAGCTAGGAAGTACTTGAAGTGCAGCTCTGGCTGGGTGGTTCCTGGCTAACAAGCTGGGAGTTTGGAGTCCTGGGTTTGCAGGGAGCAGCCAGCAGCACAGCATGGACCACGCTGCCCCTGTTCCACTGTAGCACAGTGGTCCTGTGCTGGCCGCTGCCTCCAGTTGCCCCATGTCCCTCCTGTGCCCCATTCAACTGCAGCACGGACCACGCTGCCCCTGTTCCACTCTAGCACAGTGGTCCTATAGTGGCTGCTGGGGCAGTAGGCCTGGCTGGGCCTAGAGGTCCCTGGGGCAGGGGTCCTGGCTGGACCTGTGAGGTCCCTTGGGCAGTAGGCCTGGCTGGGTCCGTGAGGTCCCTGCGGCAGTGACCATTCTTGGTCCTGTTCCAGCGATCCTGTTTATAAGGTCAGCAGTCTAGGAGCTGACTCCCTCACAGCACACTGCACCACATGGCCAGAGAGTAGGTCAGCTCCTGTCTGGAAGCCAATGGACTCTTGGGTCATCTCTGTTAGGAGCTGAATGTCCCAACTGGGTGTGAGCTGTGCAGAGTGTCCCTGCCTCCCACCATGGCTATGTGGCTAGCTCCTGGTCCTCTTGCTGCTCAGGGCATGACGTTCCTGGTGTGGAGTCTTGGCAGAAGGCTGGCTCATGTGCCTTGATGCCAGGCCTAAAGTACCACTGCTGTGCCCTGGGGCAGCGCTGCAGGCTGAGTCAGGATGGGCAGCTAGGAAGTGGAGGCAGCAGGTCCCTGGGCCTCAATAGGGCAGAGGCACTGCTAGTGGTGAGCTGAGTTTGGAGTTGAGGCAGCTCAGTGGGCAGCAGCGGCGAGCCCACAGCCTTCTGACTGCTTCCTGGGCCTGCCTGGGCCTGAGGCCCTCGCAGGGCTCCTCTTGCCAGGAGCTGGTGGGGCTGAGCTGCCTGATGGCTACAGACCTTGTTCCTCCTTCGCCTTGCCGGAGCTCACCCTGTTACCCTCCACCCTGGCCCTGCTGTGCTGGTCGGGGTGAGCGGAGGCAGGGCCCCATGTGGGTGGATGCAGGAGATGAGTGCGCACAGCATGTCCCGATTGTGTCCCTGGACCGCCAGCTGTCTCCCGAGAGACCCTCCAGGATGGTTGGGAGATGGAGTCTTGATGGGAGTGGCAGCCAGCCCCGTCCAAGCCATTGAACATGCGTGCGCTTGCATTATCTCTGCAAGACTGCATGCAGCTTGTAACATGCTGTGTAGGGGCAGTGCCCCGGCAGGGGGGGTGCGTCCGGGTTTCTGTCTTTGGCCTAGAGCTCTGTCCCTCTGAGCCCAGTCTTCTGCAGATACATGAGGAAATTGGTCCTGATACTGGGCCAGTGACTGCCTCGGTGGCTGTGATGACCAGCCACACCCCCCGCATGCCTCTGTCCCTGCCCAGGACATGTCTGCAGGTTCAGATGGGGCAGCGAACACTCCCTAGCTGGGGGAGGAGGAGTGGCTGACACGGGTGAAGATCAGGCAGGGTCTTGATGCTGTGGATAGAATTTGGGGGCGAGGATGAGACACTCTGGGGGTACCACGTGGAGGACCTGTGGCAGAGATGGTGAGTGTGGCAGTGTGTGTGGGGGAGTGAGTGAGTGGGCCTTTATACCAGGTGTGACCTCACCCTGTGCTCACCTGGGTATCCTACAGATGGAGCTCACAGGGCCGGGGTGCTTGGTGCGGCTGCTGGGGTGCAGCAAGCCTTGAGGGCCCAGGACTGGGAGGGGATGGACAGCCCAGGTGGTGTGGGGCCACGTGAGGGTGGACGAGGCCGCCAGGTGAGGCTTTGCCAAGGGGAGACCAGGTGGCATGAGGAAGAAATCAATCATGGGATAGAGCAAATGGCCTGATGAGAGAGAACAGGACAGGAAGGAGCACAGGCCTAAGGGAGGACCAGGCAGGAAGGAGCACAGGCCTGAGGGAGGACCAGGCAGGGTGGAGCACAGGCCTAAGGGAGGACCAGGCAGGAAGGAGCACAGGCCTGAGGGAGGACCAGGCAGGGTGGAGCACAGGCCTGAGGGAGGACCAGGCAGGAAGGAGCACAGGCCTGAGGGAGGACCAGGCAGGAAGGAGCACAGGCCTGAGGGAGGACCAGGCAGGGTGGAGCACAGGCCTAAGGGAGGACCAGGCAGGGTGGAGCACATGGCCTGTGGGAGGACTAGATGGGCAGGAATCCTAGGGCCGCCATGGTTTGGGGGCCTGTGGCTGGCTCCGCAGCTTCGGGAAGAGGCAAGCTGAACCATGCAATGGTGTTTCTGTGGGGGACAGTTTGGAACAAGTTTGAGTTGTGGCTACCAAAAAGGCAGAGATGTGGCCAACCAGCCAGCTCAGGAGAGAGCATGGGCCGGAGGGTGTCGGTGTTTCTCACAGGTGCCACAGGCACAGGTGGCATCCACGCTGGTGCATCAGGTTGCCAGGAACTGGAGAAGGAGCCAGAAGGGAGAGGGCGAGGTCCCCGCCACTGGCCAGCGCTGTCCTCAGGCCTGTCCTCATCTCTGGGTATTTTTAACGGGGCAGTTTGGTCAACCCCAGGACTGGCTTCTGGTAGGTCTCTGTCCGTGTCTTTGTCTTAGCTCATTAGCACGGGGCAGGTCCATGGAGTGATTTGTGTGTTTGTGCGTGGTTTCTTTATGACCAGGGGTGTTGAGGAAGGCCGTAGGAAATGTATATCATGACAGAACAATGCTGGGCTTCAAAACTCTTTTATACCGCCACGGGTCAACAGTTTCAGTTGCTTCCTGTGAATGGTTTGTGACCCTGCCCCTCTTCACTCTCACGTCTCTGCCTTGGTGCTGACTTTGCGTATCCCTGCCCAGCTGCCGCACGGCACAGATGCCCCCGTGGCCTTATTGAGGCAAGTCCTGCTGTTTCCCTCCTTGCTAACCTGCCTGGCGCTGGCGTGTACGCTGTTCACACCGTGAGTCGGTGCTGGGTGTCTGGGAAAGCTTTGCTCAAGTCGAGTTTGCCTAGTTTAAGCACCGTGGGAGACCGTGACTTCCGCCCACTCCACACTGCCTGGAGATGGATGAGAGCGAGCAGGCAGGCAGGGAGGACAGGGCAGTGTTGCTTGGCTGCTCCAGGTAATTGTGGTAATTTTTTGTCTTCAAAGAGGCTCTGTTGTAGAAGTGACACATCCTGTGCTTCGACTCCAGCGACAGGGAAGCAGCAAGCTCCCGAGCTGGAGTGACAGCTGCTCGCGTGTTGCTCTGCCCGGCCCGATCGGACCTTCCCGTGACCTCCTGGCTGACTCCAGCGCTCATTTCTCCCCAGGCACTTGGCCAGATGGACAGTACTTGTGAGCTGACATCCAGTTTGGTGGCCAGCCCTCTGGGGGCCATCGAATTGTCCGGTTGTGAGCAAGGTCTCCACAGGATCACGCTGCCAGGCAAGAGGACCCCCAAAACTAGGTAAGCGTGGCTCTGGGCCACACCTGTGTGTCTTGTGAGAGAACGTGCGTGTGCTGTGGCGAGCTGGCCCAGTGTTGACACTGCCAACTCCAGACACTGCTCCCAGGGGCTGCTCTGCAGGCAGCCGTCCACCACTGCGCTTCGGGACTCAGTGTCAGGGCCTGTCGCCCTGGAAGCCACCACCTGGGGTAACCACAAGGGGCAGCTGATGGACTGCGAGGCGGGATGAGCCCTCAGGGGTGTGACAGGGAAGTGTCCGGTCAGGACCAGTCTTCCCTGTGCCTCGGGTCCATGGAGGACTCCCCACGTGGGTTGTGCTTCTGCATCGGGCACGCAACCATTCCAGGCAGGTGCGTCGAGAGGACTCAGCATACTCTGGCATGGTGCGAGCTGGGCCGTTTTTCGTGGGATAGAGTCTCTCCCTGCACAGTCCCCACTCTGTTCTCTGATCATGAAAACGTGAGCTGGCGCTGTAACCGACTTTTCATTTGTTGATCACCAGTGCTCACTGTGCAATCGCGGTTCACGTGGTTTCTGATAGAAGGAAAAACCACCACTCCTGTGCTTGGCATTTGTCTTAACTGGCTAATGAACACAATGCCGGAACATTAAAGCAAATATGTAAGGGATGTAAAAATTGATTTGAACATCCCTTCCTCCGTGCCACGTGGAGCCCACGTGCAGTGATGAATAATGGCCCTTGCTGGCTGCAGAGCCACGTGCTCCGAGCGATCACTTCCTGCTTAGGACCGCACGAGAGCCTTGGGACTGGGGCTGTGTCCTGCTCGGTTTCTGGGAGACACAGCTGGCTGCAGTGTTGGGAAAATCACAGCCCCGAGTCACTTGCGGAGGAGGATGTCATTGAGTCTTGTAGCAGGTTTGGGTTTGCTTGTGCCATAAGCCATTGAGAAGCCTGGGGAGGAAAGGGTGAAACAGACTCTTCTGAGACCAGTGCCCTTCTGCAAGGTGAGGAGGCCCACTTTGGAGCTGAGATCAGAAAGTCCCTCGGGGAGGTTGGCACAGGCTCACCTGATCAGCCTCTGGTGCCGGGCTCAATGTGAGGCAGCAGTTTCTAGAGAAGACAGGTCAACAGGCCAGGCTGGCTGCTTGGTGGGCCTCGGGACTGGGCTGCTGGCGGCTTCCCGCTGGGCTCAGGGGGTGGACCTTGCCTTAGGGTGGGCAGAGGGTACAGTAGGGCTGGCCGCCTCCCCCACCGACGACTATCACTTGCCACACCTAGTACAGGTCAGAGTTGCCAAGTATGCACTGCCTGAAAGCAGAGGTGCTGTGGGGCAGGATGGAAATCGGACCTGGGGGTAGCCAGCAGGTGCGCTCATGTGTGTTCCCAAGTGGCTCGTCTGGGCAAGGGGAGCACTGGAATTTTGAGTGAAGTTTTCAACATTTTATGGCTTGAATAACTGAGCTAAGAGTTGTATTGTCCAATTCATATGATAAATGAATTACTCAATAAATTTTGACAGAAGTCTTCAACGATAGGACTACCACCCAAACCCAACATCTAGAACGCTCTGGAAAGTTCTCCTGCACCCCTTTAGATCAGTCCTTGTCTCTCTGGGCTTTTGTTTTCCACTCTCTTGACAAAATGTCTTGGTGTGCAGTTGCTGGATTGGATGGCAGAACTGTATGCTTGGGTTTAGGAGAAAATGCCAGAGTTTCCCCAAAGCTGGATTGCTCTGTGCTTGTACCAGCCATGCCAAGAGGGCTTTGGTTGCCCCCTGCAGTGCCAGGAGGGCATTTGTTGCCCCACCTTTCTCAGTGCTTGCTGTCAGTTGGTCAAAGCAGCGGCTCTGGCGTCTTGCTTCAATCTTGATAAGCACTTCCTTGGTCTCTTGTGCCCCTGACCCCTCACTGCTGGACTGGGCACCCACTCAAGCCTGGAGCTGGGCTTTGTGCCTGCTGTGGTTCCAGACTCTGGCTCCTGCCAGCCACATGTAAGGTGGGAGGCTCTGAGTTTTGTTTTCCTAAGAGTGGCGTTTGATGGGTAGTATTTTGTAATTTGTAGGAAGTGCAGTTTGTTCTGGGTTTTTAACTGTTTTCTGTCCTAAGAACTACTTGCCATTGAGGGTTTACAGGTGTGTTTTGATGTTTGTGGCCCGTTTGGAATGACCCCTTTGTGAAGGGCAGAGTTGTGTTGTCATACACTTGCAGTTGTTCCCACGTTGTGTGCTGATGGCATGTTCCTTTCCTGGTCAGCACACAGGTGACCATGCGGGGCTTCTCTGTGTATCCGGGTCTCATTTTCGTCTATTTCATACCAATTCTGTGCAGGTTTGGTTCTAAAACTTTGAGTTCATTTTTTTGAGTTTCTGAATTCTCCAACTTCTAATTTTTTAAAAGATTTTGCTTTCTGAGTCTTAGTTTCACATACTACGTTTAGAGTTAAGGTGTTCATTTCTACTAAAATCTTGTTGGTATTTCCCCAAATTGAATTGATGCATTTGGAGAGGATTGGCATCTTGTTAAGTGTGAGGCTTGCTCTTTGTGGCTGTGCCTTACCTCTCTGCATTTATTGGGGTTTTATTTTATTCTCTTTAACTGCATTTGTTTTCAACCTAAAGACATTGCAAAATTGATTTCTAAATAGTGCTTTGTCCTGGATGGCTTCAAAATTTACATCATCATAGCTGTTATGTAAACGGTCGGTTGGTTGGTGCGGGGACCTTTGTGGGTCGGTTGGTGATCCGTTAGGGTTTTCTGTGTAAAAATTGCACAGCGTCTTTGAATAAGGCGATCATCTTCCTTCTGTGTGTCTTCTGATGCACCAGTGGGAGGACGCCCCTCGTCCCTGGCGATGGTGAGCTTCTGCGTTCGCATGACGGAGAGCCACAGCTGGCCCCTGTGTCACTCCTGCTGGCACCCCTGCAGCAGGCAGCTCCCCTCTTGCCTGCCAAGGCCAGGCCCTCTGTTGAACTTGGCTAAATGCCACCTTCATTATTATCCCATAGTCTTTAACCAGAAGAGAAGAAATTAATCTCGGAGTTCTCAGCCAGTCTTGAGATACTGCGCTGCGTCGTCCTGACGCTGTGTGTGCATTTCCATGTTGCACGTGCTACGTGTGTGTCTTTGTGTCCACTCTGCTGGTTGACACCCGTCGTGCTCAAGAGGACTGTCCTCTGCTTTCCTCTCTGCTGTCCTGGCCGAGCTTGCGAGTGACGTCACTCTAAGGAGACGAGATGTGCTTGGAAGCGTTCCCTGTTCCCTTTCCTAGAAGTGACTTTTGGGGCTGGCCATGCTTTTCTGCACATTTTTGATAATGTCACATCTGATGGCCTCTTCTGGGTCTAGAGTTTGTGTAACCGGCTGTCCGCCTGGAAGTCCCTTGGCTTTCTCTACCCCTTGAGGGTTCTCCCTGACCTGGATTTTTGTATTTACTTGAAAGAGTTATGGAGGTGATAGGGGTGGGAAGAGAGAGAAATCTATTCAGTGGTTCCCTCCCCAGATGGCTTCAGCACTTGGGGTTGGACAGGCCAAAGTTGGGTACTTAATTTGGGTGTCTCCATGAGTGGATAGGGCCCAAGTAGTTGGCCTTCCTCTACTGCTTTCCCAGATTATCAGCCTGGAACTAGATTGAAGTACAGTGGCCGGGCCTTGAACTGATGCTTGCATGCGGTGATGTCACAGACTGAGGCCTCATACCCCAGATCTTTAGGGCACAGTGCTTTCTGCCATCAAGGCCCGTGAACATCTGCCAGGGACGGGCAGGGCCCATGGACTTGGGGCAGTGCAGCCGTGGGAGTCCAGTTGTTGACTCCATTGTGACCCCCGGGGGCAGGTGTTTTAAATGGAGTCTTAGGGGTGGAAAGTCCAGCCGAGTGCAGGTTCTAAGGAGGTTCCCAAGGAAACCACAATAATGGGTGCATGCATGAGACAGAGCACGGGAGGCTGCAGCCATGGGGGGCCCGGGAGAACCCCTTTTTACCTTCAGAAAGCCATGCACCTGCACCCGGAAACACAGGCAGTCCCCCAATCTCCAGCATCACCACACTGAGGGCTGCAACTCTTTTTCTTTTTAATATTGATTTTATGTTTATTTGAAAGTCAGAATTACAGCAAGAGAGACAGATCTTCTATCCACTGGGTCCCTCCCCAGGGGGCCACAGAGGTCAGAGCTGAGCTGATCTGAAGCCAGGAGCAAGAAGTTTCTTCTGGGTCTCCCACATGGGTGTAGGGGTCCAAGGCCTTGAGCCATCTTCGGTTGCTTTCCCAGGCCATAAGTAGGGAGCTGGATTGGAAGTGGAGGAGCCGGGACATGAACCGACGCCCATGTGGGATGCAGGCACTTGGGCAGCTGCTTGCCACACCCAGCATCAGCCCCCAGGGTCACTCTCCTGTCTACCTGAGTGCCTGCGGCAAAGCCAAGCTGGGCCCTCCTGGCTTCAGAGCCTTGTTGACCCCCTTCTGTTGAGTGCGTGTGAAACAGGGCTCTTGCTATATTTTTTTTTTTCCTAAAACCATGCTTATTCTTCAGTAGGTAAATTGCAGCTTTGGTGTCTTCAGCGAAATGCCATGCACTGTGCCAGGTCTGGCTCCGTGCCTGTGTTAGTTCCGTTCCCGGACCGTGATTCGGATGGCTTCTCACGGGTTATGCTCTGACCTTTTTCCTGCCTGAAGGGCAGTAACTGGGAATGTGACGGGTGGGAAACCTCAGCTGTGTAACTTAGCTTTCTGCCGATTGAGTTTCCCATTGGTGACTGTCATGCCAGGAGTTCTTGAATATTCTGCACTTTTACAAGAGCCCAGTGCATTCTTCCCCCTTGCCATCTTCTGGCAAGATGATTGGACCCCATATTTCCTCTGGGGGGAAGGGCTGTGGTCCATGTGTTTATTTTTCAAATGCTATTTTGGGGCTTGTTTAGTTTTCCATAGTTGATTACAGTCTTGAAAAAATGGTGTGTCCAGGCCTAGGTCATAATTGAGCTGCAGAAATAGTAGCAGCAGAACTCTTGGGGATGGGTACAGCTCAGTATTCACTCCTAGAG